ACCCAAACAAGGACATGCAGGGATGTTAGAAGCAAGATGTGCTGAACCTGAAGAACTGCCCATATTTTGCGGTTCTGCTTTAATGCTTACAGGTGGATCAGCTCCATCTTTGACTTGAAGCGCCGAATACGCGAGCGACGCAAAGTCCGCGTTCGCAAGGTGCCTTGTCCGGCAGTCACAGCTACATCTGAGCTACTCTCATCGTAACGTTCTGTACTTGTCTACATTTTCTCATTCGAGTTGATGCGTGAATTAGCCGCACCTGTCTGACGAGAACCGCTTCCTGCCCCTTTGCATGGATTCCGTGGTGCATTTGAAGGATTAGTTGAGCAGGCTACAGTGCACCTTTTGCGCCCCTTCACGCATCAGCCACAATCAACATTTGAGCTGTCATGGATTAGAACGGATATTCCCAAGCTGAAATTACAGGTTGATGATGTGAGTCTATCTGCATCTAGCCATACGAGGTTAAACTGAGGCTACATCTGATGTTCGACTTGCTAGATGCGCTTAGACTGCTGGACGGACAATGCATGTCTGTGAGGTTTGGCCTGTTAATCTGCTTGGTGTCCCAGGCGGCTCCCCCACCGCCTCCCCCGCCGCCTGCCACCGAGTGATCCCAGAGTTGTTGCAGACAGCTCAGATTTCCCAAGCTTTGCCCGTGCAGACCAGCACGTGTAGCACCAGTCTGCCAAACTTCTCAGGATGTTGGAGGTGGACAAGGCAGATCTAGTAGCAATGATACTCGGCCTCTGGGAGTCAGTTTGACATGTTGCTGGGCATGCAGGTCGGGGACATCCGGGGACACGATACCGGTCTCGTTGGAAGGTGTGGGCCTTACAGTGCAATATGATGCAATGTAGATCTTTGGAAGTGGCACCGTCACAACTTTGAAGGCAAGGACGTCGACGTAGCCGTTCCCGAGAGCCATCGTTCCAGTCAAAACTCCAAGCACCAGAGACATGAGTGAGCTTCACAGCGAAAAGCTGTTTCGTGCGGTGCTCGGCCGAAGGGCCTGGGGCTTAGGGCCTCTGGCCCGGATTGCTTGCGGTTCAGAGCCGTGATCATCTCATCCGGCTCTTAAACTGAGTCATCGCTTGATACAGGCATGGTTTGCGGAAGGCCGCGCAATTTGTTGGGTAGCTTAGATGAGTGTGTGACGCTGATGCGAGGAAAACGCTTGACTACATTGCATGCTATGCTATACTGGTTTCCCCTGGCAAGCTAGGACCCCAAGCATTTGTAGAGGTGATGACGGAAATAAGAGGGGTCCCTATGAAAGCTTCTGGGGTACCCTTGAGCGTGCAAGACCATTCCAGAAACTGAAGATACTGCCAGCTGGCACATTTCTGAGGTGGGAGCACTTCAGGGGCGAACGCAAGGCAGTGCAGTTAGCTGTTGGTATGCTGTTGGTGCATGTAGTCTGCCGGGATTGGGATGGGGAGTCGCATTACTGAATCTCCAGAACATCGCGCAACCATCCAACATAGGCTTGGGCAAGCCTGCCAGCAGCTTCCATTCGCAAAACTCCGTCGCACACCACTTGAGTTAGCGTGCGAATGGGATTGCAATCCAAAATCTACTGAAGCTTGCTAGGAGTGGACATTCGGGAGGATCCCTACCAATTTGCTACTTCGCAGCTCACAGGTCAGTTGGAAGATGACTGACGCACGCCTCGCACATCCGCATGGTGTCCAGCAGACATCAATATGTGCATGTCAGAATTGGGGCCTTTCTGGTTGATACTTCCAGCTTGAAGCATTTCGAAATACTACCAGTCAAAAGCCTCGATTTTGACGTGAACCTGTGTACATAGCTAGCAGTGCCTGTCATGTTGTAGGCGTTGAATCTCTGATTCAGAGGCAAAGCCTCCTTCTCGCATAATGAGCCTCCAAAATGTCTCTTGTGCCGGACAGTGTTTCTACTGGATGGAATGCCAACTGATAGGATTGCACGCGCATCATGGTAGCTCGCATCATGGTGACTCGCATCATGCTGCGGGACGACGACTCCAGCCGCAGTGCTTCTGGATCCTCATTTGGCCCTTTGGCTGTTAAGGTGTCGGCGTTTGCTTGGCCTGCGTGCGAAGCGTAGCAATAGGGCCTAGACATCATTTATCCCAGCGCAGCTCTTCTAGCCTACATTCTTCCACAGCCGCTACTTGAAGAGGCTACACATGCCGTGTACATGCGTCGCAGAGAGAATCGAAAGATCACCAGGACAGATGTAGCTACCATGCTGAAGCTTAATGTCAAGGCTTCTGATAGACGCGCAGCATGACATGACAAGTGTAGATGCGAGTGCATCTTCCATTTTCTTTTTGGCGGACGTCGAAATCACACCTGTGGAAGAATGCAGATTACAGTAACTAAGTCAATTCTATGTGAAAAGCGTGGTACGTCGCATTGCTGGATTGACCTGCCAGCTTGGCCCAAATCGCATCTCCAGCTGCACTGGCACAGCATTCTTTGAGGGCAGCAGGCAGGCAGAAAGCGACAGAAGGAGCGGCGAAAAGCAAGCGTACCTCACGAGTTTAACGTTTCAAGTATCTCACACACAGTCCAGGACGTCTGTAGCCAAGCCGGCCTGTCTGGTATCTGCTCATGAAGATGCATGGTGAAGTGGCTATTTGCTGCAGCCGTCATCTTGAAGCACTGTGTCGGGGATGCCTTCACAGAGCATTGGCCACGTTTCGTACTGTGCCCTCAAAGCTCGAACACAACACGCGACGACGTCGGGGACGTTGTCGTGTTTGCAGCATCTGTTACCACAACACAGCCTCGGCCAGGACGTGTTCACAGACCATTGTCGCTGCGGGCAGCATTGCTCCAACATGGCCTCTGGGATGTGGCCCTGGCAGAACAACCTCAGAGCTCGAGACGTCTCGGTCATGCGAAGAATGTCTCATATGACAAGTGCTTTGGCAGTAGCTTGCCAGCTGATACTATAGTGTTTTGTGGTCTCGGCAAGACCGATAGCTCCCGAAGAAACACGTCATGGACAAGGGGGCGGCTGGCACGATTTGACACTGGTGAGGTGCGACAAAGCTTTGCGACATGTACCATCGAGCATCTGCGGTTGGTAAAAACATGGCGTCGCCACCCTTCCAGATGGCCTCTGCGGCTGAACATGCGACTTTGGCTGAGTGTGCCGGGGCGAGCTTCGAGAGTCATTCTTCCTCTCCAGCTTTGTCGAGTGGACCAGCCAGTACAGCCGATTTCATTTTGCAGCCAACCTTTGTATAATTTCAAGCCCATGCAAGGAGAGTGGCCGCACGTGATGGATGATTGGCTTGCATACCATTTGGATTACCTGGGCTTCAGTCATGGAGATATCTATGACGTTGACGGGAGCTTTGCAGACGCTTTAGATCCTTGGATTCGAGCAAACAGCTGGCGTAAGAACACCATGACATACATCAAAGAATGGCCCAAGCAGTTGTCCAGGCAGCTGCATGACATCTCAAAGTCACACCCCTACTGCACAGAAATGCTGGCTTATGCTCACTGTCTGACCTCGCATGCTGCACGAAGCAGATGGGTTGCTCTGCTGCATGCTCCAGATGAGTACCTTGTCGCTCGGAAAAACCCCCAGGCACGCGCGCTGCCCCAAGTCATGTCTTACCTGTCGCATGACCTCGTGCGGGAGCTACCTTTCGCTTTCTTTCAAGTTAATGCTGTCTCCTTTGCCACGGAAAACTGGAACTCGGGCGGAAGACGAGGTGGCGTGCTTACATCGTCCAGGCTGCGAATGCCTCACCCTTATCACCACATGGTATTGGCTGATCCACTAAATTGCTGGGCTGCTGGGCCACACATGTGCTACGGTGAGGCCAGAGCCCGGGAAATCTGATAAGCCACACTATGCTTAGTTTTTCATCTACAACTTCCTATGGCCTTACACCTTGGAGCGTTTTTCCACGCCTTTCTAAAAGAAGCAAAGGCTAAGCCAAGGGGCTTCTCTAAGCTGTGACGTGTCCTCACGAGGCGGAGGATGAGTTCCGTCAAGGGGTCACAAAGGAGGCAGGGAGGGATCTGGGTCAAGTGACCTGCTTTGAGTCCATGATTTGACAGAGGTCCCTGCCCTCATTCTGGTGGTACATCACTACGCGAACGGCTTGGTTGTGAGTTGTAAGATGTTTCGAAAAAAGCCAGGGTTGGACCAGAGCACGTCAAATGCAAACTGTTTGCATCTTTTAGGTCGAAATGATGAGTGCAAACCGCGGGAGGTGCGCAAGTTTAGCTGGGACCCCAGCAGAGCGTTTCGGAGACCATGCCTTTAACCAGCAAGTTGCTATTCAGGCACCACACGTCTGCAACATCGATGATCTTTCCATGGATCCCGCCTCCCGGCTGCACTCGAGCTATCTGAGCTGAGCATTTGGTACGGCGTCAGAGCTGCAGTTTTAAGCGGTGTTGCTTTGCACTCGAGCGAATTCGCGTTCAACACTCAACCCATACTTGTAGGTCTGAGAACTTGTCAGCTCTCAATTGTGCTGTTGGCCGAGTCTGTGGCTACATGAGGTGATCGATTGGCTGCAAGCTCTTTGAGATAAAAGACTTGCGGGTGCTACGAGAATCCTCATGGGCAAGTTGTGACATGAGAGCCCCGCCTATTGACTTCAAGCTGCATTTCATGCCGCAGGTGCACTGTGGCTCCCATCGCATGCTGTAAGAGACAGGTGCCGCGTCAGTGCGAGGTCTCGCAGAAAGATGTAAGCTGCTGCAAGTGCTGTGGGACTTTGGTGATAGCCTGCCAGCAATTGCTAGCTGGATAGATTTGATATCTCGTGGATCACGTGCAGCCATGGCCACCAAGCCATCGTCGGACTTGGCCGCACTCTCAAAGTATCGCCCAGATGGGCCCAATTCCTCTCACGCTTCAGAGTGATGCTGTGCGCCAAAAACAGGTCCGCTGCCCCAAGTGCAATGTGGTAGGCAGCAAGGTTGGGGTACCCACGGGGAGGCTCTTGGAGTCATACTGCCGACTGCGAGGAGAGGATGGCTGCAGAGGGGAATCATCACCGCAGAACTTGTGCCTCGGACTGTGTTTTTTGCATGTATTTCCACCTCGAGCAGGCGAAAGCATACTGACACTCATAAACCACTGTATGCAAACCTGCAAAGTATCTGCACTGCAGCCTTGTGGCAAGGTCCCCTGTTCCGGCCTTATGTGCAAGGATCCCAGTCAAGACCTTCCGCATGCTGCGCGTGTGTCTGCTCTGAGCTTTGCGGGACTAGGCTCGTGAATTGCAAATCCTGCGGTGTGGCTGGCGGGCCTGCATGGATAATGACCAGCGGCAGACACCATGCTTGGTCGTGCCCACGGTATTCCTACAGCGATGCTTCTTGGCAGCCTCGCTTTTCAGATGAACATGACCAACTAGTTCAGGACATGTCTTATCATGACGCTTCTTCCTAGTTATTCCTCTTGGTGTCATGACGGCAGGTGGATCAAGCAGGGGTTTGCATTGGGCAGGCACCTCTCTAGCTCTTCGGGGATTTGAAAAAGTGTGTGCCCCCAAGTCTAATTTCAAGAATCCCGAACGGCCGAGCGGAAACAACCTTGAGGCTGGAGAGTGCAAGTTCTGCGGCTTCGTGGGAGAGGTGTCCATGGTCACTTCGAATGGACCTCATCATGCGCGAAACTGCAAGAGGCTGGCTTGCCTACCGGAAGATGCTGGTTTAACAATGTCAGTCAGGATAGAGGTGTATCAGATACTTCTAGTCGCACCTGCATCCCTTGTAAAAGCAGCGCCTGTCCGGCAAAGTGCTACAACTGATGGACTCGGTTACGTGCTTGCTCGTGTTTCGAGTCTGAGATAGCATCCGTTCTCTTGCATGAGGTTTCATCCAGGCACAGCTGATTCTCCAAAGGTCGCTGTTCCTTGCTTGCAGCTAGAAGAAGGTGGCTGGGAGACTTGCATGCTCTAGGTGGGCGCCGTCTTGCAGACAAGCTAACAGCTCCAAGGTGTGCAAGTACTGCGGCTTTCGAGGGTCAGCTGCAATGGTCACCGGGATGGGTGCCGCGCTTGGAAGCTCACCGTAATGTTTCCAGCCCCTTCGCTTCAATGGAACTGTCCGAGGTGACCAGCACCTGAACGGATGTCCTCGGAGCACTTCTAAACCTGCGAAAAGCTCAAAGCCAGCTGTGAAAGAAGGCCGCATCGACAAGGGATGAGTGCTGCAGCAATTCCTTGCAAGATGGGTACTGTTATTGCTATGCTTTTGAAACGCATGCGCTGAACCTTGTGCCAGAATCTTCGTCCGGCTGGTTCAGCTGCCTGGTCGTCCCTTGGCCGTTGGAACGTAGTTATCACAGCACAATTTTGCTGTTGAGTCTACGCCGGCCGAAGCCCCTCGGTCACAAGCAGCCATCAACCGGCCGATGACCGAGGGCAGATGCTGCTGAGCATCTTCTCCCCAATCTCCAGTTCGTATAAAACTTGCAGACGACTGTGCGCCTTCCAGCAGGTCACAAGCAGAGAAGTTTAAAGAAAGATTTCAATACTGTCAGTCTGCTTCTGGTATTAAGGCCAGAAGCGTCAGAATACACGCAGATGCCCACGATATTCCACGCTTGCTAAAACCCTGACAGCTGATGGGACCACTGGCGCGACGTTGCGCGCAAGAGATTCGACGCTTCTCAGGTATGTATCACCAGCTGCCAAGGTTTGAAGGTTTGGGAGCCTTTGAGAGTCTTCTGGCTAGGTTTGCTCTTGAGTCAGGGTGAGACGGCACACTTTGCAGCTTTCACCTGCTTCCATTTCTGTTTTCTCTGAGGGTGGCTGCTGCGGCGTTGATTCTGCAGACAGCCACGTTCTCAGGACTGGAAGGTCAGCTGCTCATGGCGTGCTAGCTGGTAAAACCGTGCTCAATGAGCAAGTCAGGTTTCCGGACTTACTTGCAATGTCATGTAATGCCTTGGCTACGCCTATGTCGAGTGCTTGGGATGTGTTTATAATTCAAGCGGCCGAATCCTTGCAACCACCAGGATGCAAGCAGCCTTTGGCAGCCAACTCTCGATTGCGGGCAATTTGTTGAAGTCATCCCTCCATCTGTGCAAAGGTCAGTATGACGAAATTCTCGTGAAGGACACACCTGGCGATGTCAAGAAAGTCTTGGGCACAGTGCAGTCTGGCGCAAGAAGCCTTGAACATGTAATGGCACAGCTCCTTTGTGATAGCGTTACATCAGTGCTGAGTGTCGAGACGATTTACAGATTTACAGCCCAACTCTCTGCGCCGAGCACGCCAGAGAAGCACACCAGCATCTTATGCGTTGACAACATTGCGAGGTTGAAGACATCGGCGAAGCAGAAACGAACATAGAGGAGATCCCCGAAGAGGCACTTGCATGCCAACATGACTCCAGGTCTGCTAGCCGGTTCAAAATACGCAAACCTGGAAACCTGATACTGAGCTCTTCATGTGGTCTTCCACTTTGAATCGAATGCTTTGCATGTCTGCCACAGTGACCCAGGTACCTTTGGACATGGAGCCAACGGTTTGAACGAGCTGGAGGCAGAACCTACTGATTCAGCAGAAACTGTCCCGGTGTCGCCTCGCATACCAGAACTCCAGGGCTACGGCATGAACGGCAAGCGTCGTATTTGATGATTTTTGCAACAGATCTTGGCCTAAGCTAAGAGTGCCCGGCGAATTTCCAGGGCCAGGCGCCCTGTGGTAGATCTTGACTGGCCACAACACGTCTAGAAAGGCCTCAAACATGTCGGCCGGCGTGGCGTAAGTGTAGTTTGGGAGCAATGAGCGCAAGCAAATCCTGCTTGCCTTTGCCATAGGAGAGAGGCGCCATGGTTCGCTGGTTGCTCATGGGCTGGGCGTGGGCTCGTTGGGAGTTGGTCAGTGGCTTTAGGGTATCATTCGCGGAATCGCCGCAGAGGCAGAGGGCTCACAGCCCTGGTCGACGCGTCGACAACACGTCCACTTTACGCATTGGTTCCTTGGCACAGCAGAGCAGTACTCATCGTCAAAAACAAGGCTAAACCAGACTACCGAAAACAAAATTAATAAAGAGTCCTTCTACTGAAACAGGCTCCAGATACTCTTCACAACCCCAGCATTCACTTTTGCCAACATCCTCAAGCTTTTGCAGTTGCAGATCTCGTGTTCCAGCACGCGAGCTTGTTTTGCATGCTGGGAGGCTTTGCGGCGGCGTTCCTCTAAGAGGAAGCAAGCGCTTCAGAGCCACTGACAAGATAGCCGCGGCTTGGAGATGAAAATGCAACAGCCTTGCCCAAGCTTTCTTGGATGTGGGGATGTTCACGCAACAGCTGTCACTGGTATAGATCCTGGTAGCTGCTTCAAACCGTAGATGCACAACACTTCATGAGGTCAACAATGAGGTAAGGTAAGGTGATGATACCAAATGCACTGAAAGCAATGCTCTCCATCTACTTGTAGCACCTCAAATCTTATGCGTCGATTGAGGGCTGACAGCCAGGCACAGTTGCAATCAGTGAACGAAGGGTGGTCAAGAGGGCCGTGGAATTATCGAATGTTAAAACCAATGCCTGCAAACAGGGCATGTGCAGGGATTACCTGGGTCTTCTACTAGTTGCTCGCGAGTTTCTCAGGATGGGTCGCGGCCTCTAAATCAACATGTCAGGCTTTCTGATTCTGTCCAACTACCTGCCACCCAATCTGACCATGGAAAAGTCATGCCTGCTCTGAAGACTGGTCGAGCCATCCGACCGTCAACATCAATTCATCCCATCAAGATTCGTCTAATGCCATCCTCGACTCTGTTGGAGCAACCCTTCAAATTGAAATGCGCCTTACGGTTCCTGATAAGATTAGAGCAATAGGCATAAGCCTCTCAAGCATAACTTTCTTGTAGCAATTGAGATTGCAAGAACTAACTACGGGCAGAAGCATGACATGGACTCAACAATAACAACAACCACTACTGCAACAACGCCGCCGCCACCAACAACAATTGTCTTCCGAAGGCTCAAGGGTCAAGGGTAGGAAGTTTGCAGCAATGGTGCTGCCTCCGAGTCCAAAGAGACGCCTACGTGGCAAGGCCTGCGTTGCAAGTTGTTCAGTCATTGGCTTGCATTTCCAACCTTACATGATCATTTCTCGACGCATCCAGCCAGCCAGTAACGCCGTGAGGTATCCCCCAGTGCCATCACTGCCTTCAAAAAGGAAAAGAGCCACCTAACTTTGAAGCTCGGCCCTCAGGGACTCAATCATGCGCATGCGTTTTGTTGGTCATACATTCTGTTAGACAGTAAGATAAGTTGTTGTCGAACCTTCAAGTCGACAGGAGTAAAATGATCGGGCAAGGCTCAACGTGTCAAGTTTACGGATCCATGCTAGATGCTAGGCATGCGCAGAAACTGCTTCCCAACCTGCACGGAGCCAAGACTTGCTACAATAGTGTTGCTAAATGATCTTAAAGTGCAGAATCTCGAAGGGCATGAGTGTACATCGCATAACAGGTATGCGTACACAAAGGGGGCAGACTTCGAGGCCGAGGTGGGAAGTGAAATCAAGTTGTACTGCGAATTTGCGGAGGTATTTGTATCTCAGGCCTGGCTTCAATGGCTGCGAGGCACCCGGCCTGGCCTGCAACTGCCCTCGGCCGACACCTCATCAAACTGTCGTAGCGAGCTTCCATGGGCTCAGAAGTGCCGCATGCTTTCGAGGTTGAGGAAGCATCTGCGCTGCTGTTGAATCTATCGCAGAAGAGAAGGCCAGCCGCATCAAGCAAGCAAGAGATGCCGATCCTGAAGCCCGAGCAGCAAGGATGGGCAACAAACTGTTGCCGTCACCTGCTGCTTGGAAACCCCACGGAGTTCGTTTCATCGACGAAGAGGCAAGGAAGTGGCCAGAGAGTCATGTCAGCCAGCACGTATCATACTTATACCGCACCCTTGCCAGAACAACTTGCAATCTGGAAATCCGCCGGAAGCATGCCATGCGTTACCTGCAGTTGCAGTAGCTTTGAAGCTGGGTCTTCACGTGCAGCTTGAGTCCGGCTACGGGCAGGGAGATGCTCGAGTCCAGAATGTTCATGGCTTCGAGGAGCAGCAGTGCGGGTGGTGTTCTTAGTAGGGAGTGGTGCTCTTGGTAGGGAATATTGTGGGCACACAGTTGCCAAAAGAAGCTACGCTCCCAGATCTGACATCCATGAGTGCAGCGCTGAGGCTCCTGACCTGGCATGAGTCCAGCGCTCAGCATGTTCAGGAAGGCCTCATGAGAAATTATTTACCGGTCATTGAAAGTCACAAGGTACGGTGGACTTTTCCGCTTGAGAAGACATCCCTCCGAAAGGCTTGCGTTCAAGTGGAGAGATTGCAGACGAGCAGTGTTGAACAGGAGTAGTGATGTTTGATGACTGTCGGTGCTGTTCGTCGCAGGGGGATTTACGCTGTGGAGCGATCAGCAGCCCTGCAGAGAGCCAGAGCGATCGTCAACAGAAGGACATGCAGTTTCGTGGCTCTTCTTTGTGGTTTGTAAGAATGAGAGCTTAGATTGGCTTGGAGATTCTGGAGACGTTGCAGTCTGGCAGCGCTGGACTAGCTCTCTCACTCTCACTTCTGCTCCCTTGCTCCCCGCCCAACAAGGAAGCAGTGTGATGCTGTGTGTTTTTTTCAAGCTAACTTTTTGCCTTCTGCAGCAGGACAGTTGGGCTTCAGGCCGGCAAAAAGTGCGCCTTCAAGTCCAGCGTCGTAATTGACACCTTGCCTCCAAGCCAGCAACTGAGAGAACCCTCCTCCAACTCACATCACCTGCTCCCTTTCAGCAGTCTCACTTGCCAAACTTCATTATTGTTCCTATGGGACTATTTTTAATATTATGACTGCCATTCTTATTGTTGTAATGATAATGATGAGTATTGTACTTCTGACTACTCTCATTACTTGAAAGCGGCCGACTCATCTCTAGCCCCTGGCAAGCAGTGGAGACATGAGGTGGCCCAATAATGGAGCCGGAATGGTCGTTCATCTATTTGCACTCCTTTAGCCAGAAGGGTGCGCCTGCTGAGAGAGTTGACATTCACTGATTCCTGCGGTTATGCATGGTTCGCTCGTGTTCGCTCCTCGTGCTTTCACTCGCTGCAAAGGCGCATCGAGGCATGCTTTGCATCTGGAATTGCAGCAAGGGATCATCTTCCGATAGTCTATGCATCTACTCTAAGGTGAGTTTGTAG